TGCTCAAGGCAAGCACTCTTGGCATTGAACTACAGAACCACTTCCTATATCAGCTTTTTTTGTTGTTGTTTTGTTTTTTCATTTGTTCTTGGGGCTTAAACTCTTTGGTCTGGGTGCTGTCCCTCAGCTCTTCAGCTTTCCAGTTTTCTGAGTGGTTTGTTGAAGATAAGAGTCTCACAGACTTTCCTGCCTGGACTGGCTTTGAACCTCGATCCTCAGATCTCAGCCTCCTTAGTAGCTAGGATTACAGGCATGAGCCACCAATCTTCAGCCCTATATCAGCTTTTTAAACACATCCCCTTTAAGTAATTTACTTGTTTGGGGGTTTTTTGCATACATTTAATGGCTACAGGATGTTAGTTTTATAGTAATTGCTAAAATTTATTGGCTTTTATATACCTTATTTAATTTTCATGTATAATTTACATGGCTTTAATATATTATTTTTTACCCATGTATCAACTAGGTAAAAAAAATCCCAATTTAAGACTGGAAACATGGCTTAAGTGGTAAGAGTCAACCAAGAAAGCAGAGCAAGGGTGTAAGGACCTGAATTCAAGCCCCAGGACCAGCACAAAATAAACCCTAATTTACAAAGCAAACCTCAGAGCAGCTAGGTAATGGAAGGACACAACTGGCAGAGAAAGATTTGAAACTAGGATAGTATGATTCCAGACCAATTACAAATAGTGTCTCATTTGAATGACAGGTCACTGGGTGGTTCATTCTCAAAGTCTGAGTGCTTAAGTTACAGGTTCCTTGACACTTGTGGCTCATTTTAGTGAGGGAACATGAAGAAGAATGTTTAGAACATACCTGAATACTTTAGAATTTCCCAGAAGTAAAACTTTCTAACATTTTGGCAAGCTTTTCACAATCATTTGAGAACAAAATTCTGCAAAGATGATTGCAGAAACTAGTTTTTAGTATACTGTTCATAGATATATATATATGTAGTCACTTGCTTTTTGTAGATTCATTCTTTAATTTTTCCCCTTTGATAGTACCAGGGTTTAGACTCAGAGCCTCATACTTGAGCAATATCATTGTGAATTTAACAGGTTCAGAAGAAAGGTAAAAACTGCAGCAGGCCTTGTGGGGCTTGAAGCTAGGGCCTGGACGTTGTCCCTGAGCCTCGTTATGCTCAAGCTAGTGCTCTACCACTTAAGCTACAGCCCCACTTCCAGTTTTTGAGTAGTAAACTGGAGGTAAGAGTCTCATAGGGACTTTTCTGCCCAGGCCAGCTTTGAACTGCAATCCTTAGATCTCAGTCTCCTGAGTAGCTAGGATTACAGGTGTGAGCCACCAGCGCCCAGCAGGCCTTTTTAAATAAAGGAGGAAGTTAGGGTCATTCTTCTATCTTAAAGAAAATGAGCAATGCAAAGAAGATGGCAATTTGGGCTGGGAAGGTGGCTCAGTGGTAGAGCGCTTGCCTTGCATGCATGAGGCCTTGGGTTCGATTCCTCAGCACCACATAAGCAGAAAAAGAAAAAGCCGGAAGTGGTGCTATGGCTCAAGTGGTAGAGCGCTAGCCTTGAGCTGAAGAGCTGAAGGACTGTCCCCAGGCCCAGAGTTCAGGCCCCACGACTGGACCAAAAATAAAAAAATAAAATGATAAAATAAAAGATGGCAATTTTTTTAACTTCTTCATTTAATTATTTTCATTATTAGCTTACATTAGTCATACTGGTAGGGGAAAATTCCATTGCTAGATTTCCACACATTTACAATGTATTCCAGTCCATCTCAGCCCCTCTATAACTCTCCCTTCTCCCATTCTCATCCAAACATTTTTAACATGATTGAGTTGGAAGAAAAGAGGTAGAAAAAGAAATAGGAGAATAATTTTTTTTCTTTAGTCAGGAACATACTGTTCTCTCTTTGTTATCTGGAGTAACATTTCTCCAACAGTACATCTTGCAAGTTTCTATCACTATTACAAATACTTGAGAATCAATCAAAAAGGAGAAAAGGTTTATTTTAGCTCACAAGTTCAGAGGTTTCAGTCTAATGGGTACCACTCTTATAGGCCTAAGGAGAGGCTATATATGATGGCAGGGAGCTTGTGGTAGAACAATGTAGTTCATCTCATGGTGGACAGGATGCAGTAAGACAGGAAAGAGTCTGAGACCAGATAGCCCATGAGAACACATCTCCAAAGACCTAATGCCTCTAACATTACATACCTCTAAAAGTCCCCATCATTTCCCAATAATGCCATCAAATTATGAATCAATTAATGAACTAATCCATAGTCCTTATGATTCATCTGCCTTCCTAAAACCCCATTAGCTGGTAACCAATACTTCAACACATGAGCCTTTCTGGAGAATACTTCATATTCAAACCATAACAAAGAGTCATGTTCAGATACTGGGAATGCAGAGGAATTAGTAGTTGGTTTGGGGGCCAGTGATTAGAGGTAAAAGTTACATTTAGGCCAGGGGTTGGTGGCTCACACCTTTAATCCGAACTACTCAGGAGGCTGAGAGCTGAGTGGTCCCAAGCCAAGCCAGGCAGGAAAGTCCATAAGACTCTTATCTCCAATTATCATAGAAAAAGCAGAAAGTGGTGCTATAGCTAAAGTGGTAAAGTACTAGCCTTGAGCAAGAGGAGCTTAGAGACAGTGCTCAGTCCCAGAGTTCAAGGACCAGGACTGGGGAGCAGAGGAGGTTCACATTTAGGAGGAAATCATATTGACATAAGCCAAACTCAAAAAGCAAAATTTTTTGTTTTCACTCATATGTGGAAGCTAGGCCTAAAAGACATACTTTTTTTTTTTTTGGGTCCGGTCGTGGGGCCTGAACTCTGGGCCTGAGCGCTGTCCCTCAGCTCTTCAGCTCAAGGCTCGCGCTCTACCATTTGAGCCACAGCGCCACTTCCGGTTTTTTTCTTTTTGCTTATGTGGTGCTGAGGAATCGAACCCAGGGCCTCATGCATACAAGGCAAGCGCTCTACCACTGAGCCACCTTCCCAGCCCCAAAGACATACATTTTAAGGAGGTAATTCCATGTTCTATAAATGGGGATTCTGTAACAATTGTGAGGAATGAATAACTTAATTAAAGCACCAGAATAGTTACTGAGGGAATAGAGATCAAAATATTACTTGGTCAAATCTCTTTATTTCATTTTATTACAGAACCAGGACTTCTCCCCAATGGCAATTACTTATCTCTTACTACTAGACTTTCTAAGATGGAAAACCACATCCATCCCCCTAGAGCTAAAGGAGGTGTTCAAAACAGATTTGTTGAAAAAAATAGCTGAAAAGTTGAGGTCTTGTCCAATCAGTTTTATGACTGACTTCAAAACCATGCCTTTTCAATAAACCAAATTGCCTCTTGCACAAATGCATGAGTCATATATTTGCAACTGGTGTATCTGACAAAGAATAAAAGATGGTATTCATGATAAAGACAAAAGCTGCATGGCAACAGGAAGAACAGTGGGAGCTGGCATCTTGAAAGTAACACTAAGTGAACACAGATGCCAGCTTATTCCAAGTTCCCGCACTGCTCACCTAGGCCTCAGTTTCCTCTTTTAAATAAGGAAGGAGGATGGGTATAACATCTTTAAAATGTTTCCAATCCTAATCCAATCAGTGATCATAAATAAAATGATACCACAATTGTGTGGGGAGGGGGGTGCTGGTGCTAGTGCTGGTGCTGGTGCTGATGGTGGTATTAGGGCTTGAACTTGACCCTGGTTCTGTCCCTTAGCTCTTTTACTCAAGGCTGGTGCTCTATCACTAGAGCCATAGCTCCACTTCAAGTTTTTTGTGCATTAATTGGATGTAAGAGTCTCATAGGCTTTCCTGCTGTGGTTGGCTTTGAATCCTGATCCTCAGACCTCAGCCTTGTGAGTAGCCAATATTACAGGCATGAGCCACTGACATCTGACACATACAGCACTTTTTTTTTTAATGAATTTTTCCTTTGGTTTTCCTTTGGGTGGGAAAAGACTGATTCTTTTGAGGCAGGCTATCATTATGTACCCATGGTTGACCTCAAACTAATAGTGTTCCCACCTCAGCCTCCTGAGTGCAGAGATTTCAGGTGGGTACCACTCTGAGCCCAACTAAAGGAAGTTTTTAAATAAAAGAGGCAGAGACAAACACATGGGGGAAGGAGGGAGGGAGGGAAATGAAATAAAGCAGGAAGTAAGGAAGGAATTAAAAGAAGCTTAGCCAGCTGGTAGACAAACTTTCAGAGGACATGATTTTTAAGAATTTGTTCAAAGGACTTAATAAACCCTGTTAATAAGGTGAATCAGCGAGTCTATAACCCAGAAATTGCTAGACTCTCTGTGGAAGTGCAAATGAGTTAAGAGCCACACAAATATTCTTAATCAGTAGGTTAAGCTGCCACCACGGGTGAGCCAGTAGTGAAATATGTTTTCAAAGCAGGCTAACCAGGGCATATACAACAGGACACATTTCTGTATGCAATTCGAGCAGGGTATAAAGTCACTTGCAAAATCTATTGGCAATCCTGACACAGTAGAGTACTTCAAGTCAGGATCAACAGCCCTAACTATCTGAACAGCAATTCACCACGTCCCTTCAAAGAAGCAGGAAAGATGTAAGGGAGCGTGAAAACTCTGAGGAACTCTTTTAAAGCATGCCCTGGAGAACTAAAGACCAAGGCAATCGCGAAGGCGCTGCAACGTGACCAGGGGCGACACAGGTACAGAATCCGCCGAAGCCAGACGGCCCAGCAGCCTCCCTCCCTCCCGTAGGCCTCTGCCCGCCGGGCCCCAGCCGCCCAAGGCCGCTCCCCAGGCTCCAGCGCGAACTCGAGGATGGAGGTTGGGAGCACAGGGCCAGAGTCTGTGGCGCCAGTCCGGGTGAGCGAGCGAGCGAGCGCCGGGGGGGGGGGGGGGGGGGGGGTGGAGGGGAGGGAGAGGGGGGGGGGGACGGAGCTCCACGGGAACCGCCGGGCGCCAGGACCCAGCCCGCGGCCTCTACTCCAGGCCCGCAGGAACCACGTCACCGCTCACCTTCAGGGTCCACAAGCCCGCACTCCTCATCCACTGTGGTGGTGGCCGCCGCCCTCGTCCTCCGGCCGCAACCAGGGCCACAGCTCCTACCCAGAGCCCCGCCATGGCAGCCCCTAGTGACCGGTGCTCTTCTGACCTCTCACCCCGTCAGCGGAGGGGGCGGGAGAGGGGAGCGCCGGGATTCGGCCAATCAAGAGTCTGGGAGCCTTGGCCCCGCCCCCTCCCTGCTAGGGCCAGGGAAAGGAGGTTGCTGTGAACTGTCCGCGCGCGGGCTGCGCGCGCGCTAGGACCCGAAGGAAGCAGACCCACGGCGCGCCTGACCACAAGGGCCGAGAGCCCAGAACCTGGAGGTAGAAAGGTGTCTGGGTTTGGCTAACTACCAGGGGTAAACTCCCCGGAGTTTGCTTCAACAAATCAACATTCTGCCTGCCGATTTGGTCTCATCCAATCCGCAGGAGTCCTGCTCGAGTTTGCCTTTCCTGCAGAATCACCTTGAAAATCGTAGTGCTGTGACCTACTCAAGTACTACCTACTGTACTTGTACAAGCTGCTGTACTTACGATTAGCTACTACTCGTATTAGCTACTACTGTGAGCCAAAGCTACATTTCAGGTTTTCCAGTGATTCATTGGAGATAAGAGTCTCACAGATGTTCCTGCTGGACTGGCTTTGAACCGTGATCCCCAGATCTCAGCCTCCTGAGTAGCTAGGATGACAGGCATGAGCCACCAGCACCCGGAGATTCCATTTGTATTTAAACTAGCTCGACTCTTCTTTTGTTTGCTATTGCAGATTCCTACTCATTAAGTTATCATCCTAAATTAAATAGTGTGCGCATACTAAGACCAGGGAGCCGGCTGTGCCCCCAACTTTGTTCCTGTACAGCAACTGAAGTTTTATGTAGATATGTTTTGTGGCAAGTGGCCTTGTCATCACAATTCATTGACTCAACAATGAGAACCTGACCATTATGGAAGATCTCAAAATAATTTCTGAGAAACACATGAGATCCCAGTCACTGTTATACAATCACTGTATACTCCACTATGATAAATACTCTTCTATATATGTGGCTACAACTATAGCTACTAATATTTACCACCTAAACTGGGCATGATAGTACCCAGAAAGCTAAAGCAGGAGAGCTTTAAGTTCTAATCTAGTCTGGTCTTACAAAAACAAAAGAAAGCACCTAAAACAAATAAAAAGAAAAATACAAGTTAAAATGGAAAAGTATCACAATGTGGTTTATTGGTAAGGACATAAAAGTCACTTTAGTTTGCTTGCTTTTGCTTTGGGGTGTTTACTGTTTCAAGGGCTTAGTGCCACACTTAGCACACTCAGCTTGGTATTACTCTCTTTTTATGCTTGTGTATTTCATAATATTGGCACAACTTAAACGAAAATAAAATCATGCCCTGCTTAGCACCAGCAAAATAATTACTTACATCAGGAAAGGCCTTTACACCAAGGAGTATAGTCTCTCAACACTATGAATCTGATAAGTCAAGAGTAGTTGTATTTCTTTTTTTCCTTTTCTTTTTTTTCTTTTTTTTCCTTTTCTTTTTTTTTTTTTTTGGTGGGTTGTGGGGCCTGAACTCTGGGCCTGAGCGCTGTCCCTCAGCTCTTCAGCACAAGGCTAGCACTCTACCACTTGAGAGTCAGGCCCACTTCCAGCTTTTTCTGCTTAAGTGGTGCTGAGGAATCGAACCCAGGGCCTCATGCATGCAAGGCACGCACTTTACCACTAAGCCACCTTCCCAGCCCCAAATAATTGTATTTCAATACATTGCAATTTGCACTTTTTTATATAAGGAAATGATGCCTAGTATTTTTCCAAAATTTTCACAGTTATTTGCCTTTTTTTCTTGGTGCTAGTACTGAAGCTTGAACTCAGGGCCTCTTGCTCTTGTTATGCCTTTTCTCTCACAGCTGTCACTTTGCCACTTAAGCTACACTTCCAGTTCTAAATAGTCTCTTGTATTGGTCTATTCCAGCTGGCTTCAAATTTCAATTCTCAGATCTTAGCCTCTTGAACAGCTAGGATTATAGGTGTGAGCCACAATCACCCAGCTACAGTAAATGTTAATGTGGGGTAAAGCATTTCTTTTCTACTGCTCTTGCTTTTAAGTATGTTCACAGAAATTCTAGCTTATTCATTTTCTATATGAAGTTTTGAATTGAATTCCAGGAAAACTACTGGTATTTTTTTTTAATTCAGATTAGATTACATTTATATGTTAACCTGGGAAAACTTGACAGGATTATGGTACTATGTGATCTTACCCAAGAATAAGGAATGTGTTTCTATTCACCTCTACTTTTGTAGTTTTTCAGGACTGTTCAAATCTTCCCCACATGGGCTTTGTACATAATCTTTTTTTTTTTTTTCCTGGTCATCGTGCTAGAACTCAGGGGTTAAGTTCTTCAGCTCAAGGCTAGCACTTTACCACTTTGAGCCACAGCACCAATTCCAGTTTTCTAGTGGTTAACTGGAGATAAGCCTCACAAACTTTCCTGCCCAGACTGACTTTGAACCATGATCCTCAGATCTCAGTCTCCTGAGTAGCTAGGATTACAGGTGTTGAGCCACCAACATCCAGCTATTCATAATCTTTTAAACTATAGTGACCTCATCCTTATGTGACTAGATCAAATGAGTATGATCAAATTTCCTGGCAGCTTTTCCTTTTGAGAAAAGGTAGGAAAAAGGGCAGACAGAGAGGTAAACAGAGTACTAAACAGATTTTATGTTCCACTTTCCCTGTTCTTTCTCGCTACTGAGGACCTGGCATATATTAATATTGCTGCCCATACTATTATGTTCTACTCACTGGCACACTGTCATTAGTAAACTTAACTGGACAGTATCACTGAGTGTAACATGAGATAAGAAATAACCTAGGGGATGAATTTGGGTATCTCAGATATTACAGGACTTTATGGTTAAATTATTTTATTTTTAACTCAATTCAGAGATTTCTGAAGGGTCCATCGCATCTGCCTAGAGCAAAAGCAGCCAAAATTAGGACAGAAGTTTCATGATGTCTCACGAAGGTGAAGGCAGGGTCTCCCTGACACTGCATCTGATACTACCTGTGAGTGCTCTCCTGGGAGACCTTAGGTAATGCTAGGCCTGGAATAACAGAATTAAACTGTCTATTTCTTTTCTCATTCTTCCCATTCCTTTTCACCTCAGAGAACAAAGGTTTGTTGACAAGGGCCAGAGGCAATCTTGAGTTAATATCTTGTTTAGCCATCTCTCTATTGGTGGAAGCATCTCAGTCTCTTCAGAGACCCTAAGAGTTATTTGTAAGATGGTTAAAGTAAAAGACCTCTTTTACAGGTTTCCTATGCTTTGAATGCTTCCTGGTACTTTTCTTCCTCTTAACACATACCAGAACATTCATGCTGAAGTTATGTATGTGTGTGTGTGTGTGTGTGCATATGCGTGTGCATGTGTATATGTATGTGTATATATATTAAGTGGAATGAAAAAGCTAGGAGCCATTGGTTCATGCCTGTAATCCTAGCTATTCAAGAGGATGAGATCAAGGATCATGGTTCAAAGCCAGCCTGAGCAAGAAAGTCTATGAGCCTCTTATCTCCAGTTAACCATTAAAAAGCCAGAAAAAGAGCTGTAGCTTGAATAAAAAACATCAGGGATAGTGCTCAGGCCCTGAGTTCAAGCCCCAGAACTATTTAAAAAAAAAAAAAAAAAAGAATGAGGACAGGGGAGCCGAGGCTTACTTAAGGTCTGTAATCCTAGCTACTCAGAGAGTTGAAGGGAAGAAGATCCTGGCTTGAGGCCAGTGCAGGTAGAAAGTTTTGCGAGACCCCTCTCAATCAACAGCTGGGCCATGGTAGCATATGCCTGTCATGCCAGCCTCACTTATACACAGAGAATTGATTGTTCAACTGCACTGTATGTAGCATTTGGCAGCCATTATTGCCTCTCTATTGGTCTCTCAGTGCTATAAAGATTGCACACTTCGGACAGATACATTTTGTCCCAAGCAGATCAACAGATACGCCAATTGCTTCTTTGGATTTCACCAGTTAATTGCAGTTGGCCAGCTGTTTGGAATGTAGCCTGTTTGAGCAAAGAAATATCCTTATTTGTGGTTCTGTTGCAGCAATGAAATTTACAACCACAGCCTGGCGCCGGTGGCTCACACCTGTAATCTAGCCATTCAGCAGGCTGAGGTTTGAGGTTCAAGGTTCAAAGCCAGCCCAGGCAGGAAAGTCTATGAGACTCTTATCTCCAATAAACCACTAGAAAACCAGAAGTGGCGCTGTGGCTCAAGCAGTAGAGCACTCACCTTGAGCTGAAGAGCGCAAGGACAGCTCCCAAGTCCAGAGTTCAAGCCCCATGACCTGCAAAAAAAAAAAGAAGGGCTGGGAAGGTGGCTCAGTGGTAGAGCTCTTGCCGTGCATGCATGAGGCCCTGGGTTCGATTCCTCACCATCACATAAGCAAAAAGATAAAAGCCGGAAGTGGCACTGTGGCTCAAGTGGTAGAGCGCTAGACTTGAGCTGAAGAGCTGAGGGACAGCGCCCATGCCCAGAGTTCAGGCCCCACGACCGGACCCAAAAAAAAAAAGAAAAAAGAAATTTACAACCACAAAAAGATGCAATACCACTTAGATGGTAAGATTATCTTTATGACAAGGGAAGAACTGGTATGGATATTTGCTTTTCTTTAAAAAAAAAAAAAAACTATCAGTAAGGAAGAATACCTAAGGCAGGTGTCAGTGGTTCACATCTATAATCCTAACTACTCAGGGAGCTAAGATCTGAGAACCAAAGTTTGAAGACAGCCCTGCCAGGAGAGCCCTTGAGACTCTTGTCCCCAATTAACCACCCAAGAGCTGGAAGTATTGCTGTAGCTCAAGTGGCACACTGGCCTTGATTGAAAAAGTTAACTGACAGTACCCAAACCCTGAGTTCAAAGCCCCAGTACTGGAGAGGGGAAAAAAAGGTTTTCTGGTGAAATATACCATGGAGTCAAATCTTTGTTTAGATGCCTTTTTGGTCATAGGCTCAGAAGCTCAAGGTCTTATTCACTGAAATACTCCATAACTTCTGTTTTTAAAGTGGAGAGTTCTCTTCTGAGACACTATGACATTTCAGATGTA